CCAGCCCCGCATCCATGCAGCAGCGTTCGTAACATTATGCCCCTCCTCCTTTAGTCTTATCCTCAAGGCCATTAAATAGGCCGGCTAAGTGGTAGGTGGCTTTTCCCTCCTGCATTAACATGTGCTATCATGTCTAATCGTATCTCAAGACCTTCTGTACGATCCCGAAAACCTTCCCGCAAGACGGACGAACAAAACGCCCTTCTTAAGTTGATAATCGGAAATCTGGTTGATATGCCTGCCTGCTCATTTTGTAAAGAACAAGGCCTCTAGAACTGCAAGGCGTCCGACGTGGACTCGTCTCGATGTTTCAAGTGTATCCGTCTTAACCGGTCTTATTGTGACATGAATCCCCTCACTCCTCAGCAACTCCGCCGCATCAGTACCTAACACCAAAAGGCTGAATCCGAATTAGAAGCTGCCGAAGAAGAGCTTAAAAAGGCGAGCGCCAAAGTGCGTCGCTTACGAAAACAAAAGAAATTATGGTTCGAGAAAATGATGCGCGCGATCGCGCGTGGTATCGACAATGTCAAAGAGTTAGAGCGTGTAGAACGGGAGGAAGCGGAACAGCTTCAGAAGACCACAGGGGTCCTTCCTACTCCTTCCGAGGATCTAGATCCTGCTCTTGTTCGTTCTTTAGATGCTGAGTTCGGTATCGAGTCGTTGGACGGTACTCATGCGATTGATTAGGATGCGTTCCTTAGGAATGGAACTGTTTAAGCAGAGTCGAACAATTCGTGAGATTTTCGATTAGTTCCTAGGTGTTTTCGGAGTTCGGGTATCCCTTCTATTTGACGAGATAATGACGATTTTTAATGCTTCCTCGTGCTCTGAGTATCCTTTTGACTTCGTATTCGTTGGTATCTTTAACTGTGATTCTCATAGCGAGTGTAGAATCATCTGGTGCTCTCTTGAGTAGTGACATATGAAATATTGGATAGATCTTCATTCCGTCTGGTAATGATAGTTCGTAGTTAATGTTTAATATTTTCCGTTTAATAAGGAACGGTCTAATTTTCTTCTAGTTGAGTTTATCGCTGGGTCGCTTGGTTTTGATGTTTCTGCGGATGAGGTAAACTTTATCTCCCCTCTCTAGGATTAGTGCTGGCAATCTCTTTTTATCCGCATAATGTTTCATTCGATTTTACAGAAATATCTATTCTTATTATAAATTTTTCTGCACACCTGTGATAGTGTCTGCGTAAGTAGTTGCTGCTAGCGTATTCATAATGCGTTCTGCGTGTATGTTAATAGTAGGGTCAAACCCATAGTTCGCCTTCATTAGTGACATTTTCATACTGTCGATCTTAGAGCTATTATAAGCCCATTGTGCGAGTAGTAACCACATTACCTAATTGTCTTATTGGTAGTTAATAAAGCTTCGTAAATATTGTTTGAGTATTTGGTTCAGAATCTCTGTCTGACCATCTGACTATGGGTGGAATGCCGTAGATAAGCTTTGCTTAATCTTCATAATTTCCATAAGGCATTTCCAGAAGTTAGACGTGAATAACTTGTCGCGATCTGATATAAGCTTTATTGGCAATCCGTGTTACGTAACAACAGTTTTAAAGAACATGTATGCTAAGTCCGTGGCATCACTTGATTCCATGTAGGGAATGTAGTAGGCGTATTTTGTGAGTTTGTCCATAATGACTAGGATGCTGTCGTAAATTGCCCCTGTTATGGGTTCCTTAGACTTTGGTAGTTTGACGATAAAGTCTATTATAACTGTCTGCCATGCTCTCTTAGGTGGTGGTATCGGTTGTAGTTCGCCGTATGGTGCGTGTCGTGGTGCTTTCGCTTTTCGACAAACTTCGCACTTATTGACAACTTCTTATACTCGCTTTCTACTTTCTGGGAAGTCGTATGATCTTTGTAGTCTGCTGATTGTCTTCCCTACACCCTGATGTCTATATAATGGGTGTTCGTGTATTTCTTTAACGAGCTATTCTTAAAGTACGCGAGGAACATACTGCCGTTCATTATACAAGTAGCTTTCGCCCTTCCTTATCACATGCGGGTTCGTGTCCTTGCTATTCAGGTAGCTGTCCTTCTTCATGTGCGATTCAATTCGCCGCATCTAAGTATCATCTAGTTCTGCTTTCCAAGTCATGCTGAGTTCCCTAGTGCCTAGCACAAGGTTTCCGTTCTCATCATACTTGAGCATTAGATGTTCAATCGGTATTCCTTCTGATTTTAAATCTTCTCGTCGGCTGAGAGCATCCGCTCTGCTATTGAGTGTCCCTTTTTGATATAGAATTTTAAAGTCATAGTCTATAAGGGTCTCGTACCATCATATTTGTCGTTTATTTAATTCTTTTGTGGTGGTGAACGATGTGAGGTTTTTGTGGTCTAAATAGACCGTGACTTTATGGTTTACGCCCACTAAGTAGTGTCGCTATTCTTTAAATGCTTGAATGATAGCTATAAGTTCTTTGTCGTGTATGCCGTAGTTTAACTTAGGTCCGTGGAGTTTCTTAGAAAGGAAGGCGACTAGGTAAAGTCATCCTTCTTTATCTCTTTATCTAAGCTGTCCTCCTACCGCGAAGTCTGAAGCGTCGGTCTTAACTTCGAACGGTTTGCTTAGGTCGGCTGTGATCAGAACTAGCTCGTCTAGTATTCTGTCTTTTAATGTTTAGAAGGCTTCGGCTTCCTTATTAGTCCACTAAAAGGTGTGATCCTTCTTTATGAGGTCAGTTAAAGGGATTATGATCTCGCCGAATTTACGTATAAAGCGTCAATAGAAGTTCGTAAATCCGAGGAATCCTCTAACTTCTCTAACGTTAGTTAGCGCTAGCTAATTCTATACGTCTTCGATTTTTAATAGGCTCATCCTAATGTGTCCTAGGGTAATCTCGTAACCTAAGAATTTGACTTTCTGTTAGTGGAACTTGCTCTTCGTCGGTTTAACCAGTAAGTTGTTATCTTGAAGTACTTAGAGTACTTCGTGCACATGTTTCTTGTGTTCCTTGAGTGTGTCGGAATAGATGAGGATGTCGTCAAGGTAGACAACAACAAATTTGTCGAGTTGTTTTCGTAGGACGTTGTCGATCATAGTCTGGAAAGTGGCTGGTGTATTTGTGAGACTAAAGGGCATTACCAGATACTTAAAGTGTCCTCTTGAGGTTTGAAAGGCAGTTTTCCACTCGTGACTATCCTTTATATGGATGAGGTTATAAGCCCCTTTTAGGTTGAGGGTGGTAAACCATCTAGATTGTCTGACTTTGTCTTGTATTTCTGATATAAGTGGTAATGGATATCGGTTCTTAATCGTAATGTCGTTTAGCTGCTAGTAGTCGATGCATGGTCGTAGCTTTCCGTTTCGCTTTTATACCCACAGGATTAGGTATCCT